CCCCCCACCCAAAGCGGCTGGGGTTGGGGTGCAGCCCTCACAGCACCCTTGTGATCCCCGAGGAGCTTGAGGTACGGCGTGAGCCAGCAGGAAAAAAAATGCTTTTTTTTAAAGCCTCCAGCACAAATCCAAGGGGAAGGAGGACAAGTTTGCCAATTTGACTTTTTTCTTTTTTTAATTTTTTATTACACCCATAAGAAGGTGCCATGGGTTTCCATGTTGGCAGAGCTGGTAGAGGAGCACAGCGGGAAGGGTCCTGTTGAGGCAGGACCCGCAGAGAGATGATCCCACTGCTCTGTGGCAATGGCCGCCTGCTCTGCCCTTCCCCTCCCGCAGGCAGCAGGAGCGGCTGAACTCGCTGTCTCTGCCTGACTAACACAGGAAGAAGCAAGCGGGACCGGCAATCTGGCTCCCTGCCGCAGGGGCAGGAGGCAGCTGGTTTTGTGGGGAAGAACCAGCTACTCATCCATCACAGCAGCAGGGGCTCCGTTTCCTGCACTGCCTGCTGCGGCAGGCAGCGTTTGCTCAGGGAGAGTCTCCTCCAGAAAAACAAAAGAGCTAGAGGGAAGCAACCCTGCGGACCAGGTTACCTCCTGGAGCAAGCTGATGTAAGCAAAGTAGTCAGAGACAAGGGATAAAGACGGCTTAGCTCAACCACTTGCTAAGGGCTCATCATCACGAGCAGGTACATCTGCACAGAAGCACATCCTCACACCACAGGTGGCAACGAATGGACCAGGCAGACTTTTGCTTCTTCCCCCAGGCTGAATCTGAAACCTGAAAAGAAGCATTCAGCACATACGTGTGCAACGTTAGGACTCCCAAGGAAAGAGACTTCTCTTTCAAAGTAAACTGCAAAGTACTGCTTCTACAAAATTACTGACTACTACACAGAATGATCCCAGTATTTAGCCAGCTCAGCCACTGTAGATCAACCGGCATGATAAGCTAACTGCAGTGGGCAGCTTCCTCATTCTGAAGTATCAAAGCTCAGACAAGCACGTGGTTGCTACTCTATTAGAAGAGGGTGAGGTTCCATCTTTATTCTCCAGGAAAACTTTGTTCTGTTAAACTGGGTTGTGTTTGGCAACCACAAGCACTGCTATAGCTGCTGCACAGCTCAGGGAAACGTGGAGTAATTGTGTCATTAAGCAGGGTGAATGCTGGCTTTCTAATCACAGCTGATGCAACTCATCACACTGGTCTCTGAGGCATAAAGAGGCAAGCCGAGGGCTAAAAGTATACAGTTTGTTTCATTGCATGCCTTGGAGGAGCCTCATCCACACCAGAGAAAACCAGCTGTGCACGACCATTCAAGCAGTGGCCTTAAGTTGCTACGAGCTGCCGGGGCTTCTCATAATTTGACATTTGGGGGAGGAAACGTTCTCTTGAGAGGAGGCTGGAAGTGGTCCCTGTGCAGCCACAAAAGAGAGACGGAGCTGCAGCAGCTATTTTATAGCTACTTCAAAGGCCACCTAAATCCAGTGCCTCCATGCTCTGTGCTCACCCATATAGACAGCAGAGTAAAAGAAACCGTCTCTTACAGACAGCTGGAGTTGCCAAGAGGAAATAATGCACAGATGATACAGAATGTAAGACTTACACATTCTTTGAAAGGTATGGCCTGTGTCTTACACCTGATATCTGTAAAACTCACAGTGAAAAAGTGCTGACTTGCCTAGAGACTTTTTGAAGTAGCATCTCTTTGTTGCAAGATTAACAGGCCTTGAACGAGTTCATTGAGTCACATCCTGAAGAAATCATACAGTAAGATAAGGGGAACTAAGACCATCAGCACCCAAGACAAGTGCAGAAGAGCTAACTGAAACCAGCACATATCATGACAGGCTGTGACAGACCAATCAGCAAGCTAATTCATGACCATACATGGAAGAAAGGCTCAGAGCTGATAGAAAAGACACTGAGAGATCCCTCTATAACAACCACCGGGGACCTCCAAAGACCACCGACCCAAATCACTGAGCATGCGTGATTGGGAGGAGAGTATGTAAATAACTCATTATCATAAGACTGCCTTTTCCAGGAAATAGGACGGGGATGTGTATCTTTGTTCTATATAAACTGTATGCTTTTGGTTGTGCGGCATGGACATTAGGTGGAGCTATCCCCCGTGCATCTGGCGCCATGAATAAAGAATGCCTGCTTTTTAAAACTCCAAGATGAGTCTTAGAGTTTCCATAAGCTGTAATTTTCAGCATCATTTTGGTGACCCAGGTGGGACCACGCTTTTGAGACGATTGATGTGGGATCACAGGACCTCCAGCTGGCACCGAGATTTCTCAGGTAGACCCTTGGTCCCCCTTCCTGCAAGCTCAAAAGCCAAAGCCCCTGGTAAGAATACTTAAGGCATTCTTTTGGGTGTTTGATAATTTGTATGCCTGTCCCTCAGTCTGCATGAAAGCCCAGCAGAGTTGGGCTAAAAGGATCCTTGAGGGGTTTGAGTTCCCATTCAATAGTCCCTCTAGGTGAAAGCCCCAGGTTTGATTTGGGTTCGAGTCCCCCTTCTGATTGTTGATTGGGGTTCAAGTCCCTTTCTGATCAAACTTTGTTGGTATTGATTTGGTATCAAGTTGGGTAATCATTATATTTGTGAACTGTCGGTTTGTTGTAAGATTATATTGACAATAATTATATTGACAATATGGGAGCTGGACAGCTGGGAGGAATCTTGAGGAAGTCACCCTTAGGGTGCATTTTAAGACATTGGAACCAATTTGGTGGTACTCCAGGTGGTAATGTGCATAAAGAGGATTTGGTCAAGTATTGTAATCAATGGTGGCCATTGTATAAGTTGGATGATGGAGAAAAGTGGCCTGTGAATGGAACGCTGAACTAGAATACCACGCTGCAATTGATGTTGTTCGTAAGGCAGGAAGGAAAATGGGACGAAGTTACGTATTGTGAGATGTTTTTCACTTTGAGAAATCACCCTGAATGGCAGAGAGAACGTGGTGTTAACACGCCACCTAGTGACTCTTGCTCTTTCTTTGGAGGACAGGGATGTTAATGGAAGTTATAGGGAGGTGATGCTAGGGACTGAGGAAAGTTGCTGGAGGTGGCATGGACAGTACACAGAAATCGGGAATGAGAGAGAGAAGAGAGTAAACAGTAGATTAATTGCAGCCTTGGGAGGCAGGTGCTGGAAGAGGCAGAGGAGTCCCTTTTAGGGAATGAGGATGTGGAATAATCTATGTAGGGGCCTCCCATCCGGGCCCCCAGCTGAGTGAGAACCAATGTGCACACTGCAAGAAGGAGGGTCATAGGAAGCGGAATTGTCCCTTGCAAAAATGCTCCAGTCCCCCATTACTTGCAGAAATTAATGAGGCTATTTGACAGCGACAGAATGAATCTCTCCCAGCAGAACCTCTGGTTACAGCCAAGCTGGGAGAATAGAAAACTGAATTCTTAGTAGATACCAGAGCCACTTACTCAGTTTTAAATACCTTAGAGGGGGAATTGAGTTCTGAAAATATAAGCATTGTTGGTGCGACAGGAATTAGTGAAGTTAGACCTTTCTTTAAACCTTTGACAATGAAATTGGGAAAGCAATGGGTCACCCATCAGTTCCTAGATTTGCCTAACTCTCCCAAGCCATTGTTGGGAACAGATTTGCTTGAAAAATGGGAAGCAAAAATCAAATTTAAGGGTGGAGAAGTTAGAATTTTAATTCCAGAAACTAAATATATTGAGGCAGCATCTTTATTGTTGCAGGACACCAACCTCGAAAAGAAACTCATACCAACAGAAGTGCATAATATGGTAATTCCAATTGTTTGGGCCAGAGAAGTTCCAGGTAAATCCAAAAGAGCTGAACCTATGACAACTGACTTGAAACCAGGATCGAGTCTGGTAAGAATTAAACAATATCCTCTAAAATTAGAAAGCAGACAAGGGCTAGTACCAAAATACAGAAATTTTTGAAGTACAGATTATTAGTAGAACGTGAATCTGAATTTAAGACCCCAATATTGTCTGTAAAAAAGGCTAATGGAAAAGATTATAGACTAGCTCAAGATCTGAGAGCAATCAATCAGATAGCACAAGGTATCCATCGTGTGCTTGCAAACCCTTGTACCTTGTTAACTGCTCTCACCAAGAAACAAAAATGGTTTATGGTGTTAGGCTTAAAAGATGCCCTTTTCTGTATTCCTCTCATCCCTAAGAGCCAAGAGCTTTTTGCTTTTGAATGGGAAAACCCCAAGACTGGGAGGAAAACCCAAAACACGTGGACAGTCTTACCACAGGGCTTTAAGAATAGCCCGACCATTTTTGGAACCCAATTGTCACAGGAATTAGAAATCTGGAAGAAATAAAAGTCAAGGGACTTTGTTACAATATGTGGATGACCTACTGATTGCAATGGAAATAGAAGAACAGTGCATGAAACTAATAATTAGCCTCCTGACCTTTTTGGGAACTAGTGGTTATCAGGTATCGAAAGAAAAGGCCCCAATAACCCAGAAAGCAGTAACTTACCTGGTTTTTGAAATTCTAAAAGGACAAAGACAATTAGGAACCGAAAGAAAAGAAGCAATTTTCCACCTCCCCTGAACCCAGGGCTTTGAAAGAATTACGAGCATTTCTGGGGATGGTGTTGTCTGTTGATTTTACTCATGAAAGAAGAGGAGTGGCTCTGGGTGTCCTATCACAATACCTGGGACCAAATCGGCGGGCCGTTGCTTACTTCTCAAAACAACTAGATAACGTGAGTCTGGGATGGCCTGGCTGTTTGAGGGCTGTTGCAGCAACTGTATGATTGATTCAGGAAGCTCGTAAGTTTACCATGGGACTGAGGATTACAGTCTATGTCCCACATATGGTAATCACAGTCTTAGAACAGAAAGGAGGGCACTGGCTATCCCCTAGCAGGATGTTAAAATACCAAGTGGTGTTGCTGGAACAGGATGATGTCCATTTGAAGACTACCACCATTGTTAACCCTGCCATGTTCTTGACAAGTGATCAAGCTGAAAGAAAGCTGGAACGTGATTGCTTACAGATGATTGAGGAAGTCTACTTGAGCTGACCAGACCTTAAAGATACCCCGTTAGAAGGACCAGATTGGGAGCTGTACACGGATGGAAGCAGCTTTGTCCAAGAAGGAAAATGCCAGTCTGGGTATGTGGTAACCACTACTGATAAGGTAATCGAATCGTGAGCTTTGCCTTTGAACATGTCAGCCCGGAAGGCTGAAATAATAGTACTTACCAGGGCACTAGAATTGAGCCAAGGGAAGTGAGTCAATGTATGGACAGACTCTAAGTATGCTTTTGGAGTAGTCCATGCGCATGGAGCGATATGGAAAGAAAGAGGACCTTTGTCATCACAAGGAAACACCATTCAGCATGCAGAACGAGTATTGAAATTATTAGAAGCCATCCAGAAGCCAGCAGCAGTTGCAGTACGCATTGTAAGACACACCAGTCAGGTAAAACTGTCCCTGGAACAGGTAATCGATTGGCAGATAAGGCTGCTAGAGAGGCTGCAGAAAAAGGCATCCTAGCTTTAGTCCTGGAAAGGGGTATATAACCTTACCTAAAGAACCCCCAAAATGTGAGAAAGGCAAAAAACTGATTACTAAACTACAGGCTAAGAAGGATGAAAGAGGATGGGCTATAATGCCGACTGGACAAATAGTGGTACCACCTACAATAATGAGAAATTGCTAGGGCAGAACATAATAAAGTACACTGGGGAACAGAAAGCCTGGTTGAGCACTTACAGAAATGCATTTTAAGCAGAGCCATGACAAAAAACATTCAATCAGTTATGGGCAGCTGTGAAATTTGCTTACAAAACAACCCTAACACTAGTAGTAAAATTATATTGAGAGTCACCAAGAAAGGTAACCCCTAGAGAGTATTGGCAAATTGATTTCACAAAATTACCTTGGAAGGAAGGGTACCGATATGTACTGGTACTGGTAGATACATTCACTGGGTGGCCTGAGGCTTTTCCAAGTCGCACCAACAAAGCAAGAGAAGTGGTTAAAAATTTGCTCAAAGGAATCATTCCAAGGTTTGGCGTTCGTTCGGGAATGTCATCTGACAATGGGCCTCATTTTACAGCAGGAGTTGTTAAACAATTGAGCAAGACACTGTCTATAAATTGGGATTATCACACACCATATAGGCCACAGTAGAGCGGGAGAGTAGAGTAGATGAATTATACCCTTAAACAACAGTTAGGAAAAATTTGCCAAGAAACTTCATTAACATGGGTAAAAGCATTACCTATGCCTTCGTTGAGAATTGAATCCAGCCATGGGGAAAAGGAAACTTAAGTCCGTATGAAATGCTGTATGGCAGACCCTCCCAAGGGTCATACGCTCTAGGTACTATTCATGTACTTGGAGACATGATCCTGAGAAACAGTGTGATTTCTCTTGGAAATACTTTGCAGGAACTCCGAAAGTATACAACAACTGCTGGATCCTTGGAGTCAGACACACCTGCACATCCCTTTTGGCCTGCAGATTGGGTGTATGTAAACTTGTGGACTTCGGAACCTCTAGCTGGGTTAAACAAATCTTCATAGTTGTCATTCTCATTATTGTAATGATCTTGGTAACTTGTATATTAATACAGTGTGTTCCTATGATTAGAAACCTGTGTGATCTGAAATATATAAAGTATTAACTTATTTGTGGGAGTAATCTGTGTAATCATCAGTCACGTACTAGCTCATTGTTCTATATGAACTGTATGCCTTTGGTTGTACAGCATGCACATTAGGCAGAGCTATCCCCTGTGCATCCGTCGCCGTGAATAAAGAATGCCTGCTTTCTAAAACTCCGAGTCAGAGTTTCCATAACCCATAATTTTTGGTATCACAGATACTGGTGAAGCCTGCAGTGTCTTTCAGATCTGGTTGGCTGAGATCCCTTTGCAAGTCAGGAAGGTCTTCTTGAGTCACGGCTATTAGTCTTTGCCCAGACCATCAACAAAGTGATCCTCAAGCCAGCCACACTTGCACCCTGTTCTCACCAAAGCCATTAGGATCAACAGGGAAGGATGTCATAGAAAGCAGTTCAAAGCCATGCCAGATTTTCACAGGCAGCACTAAGGAACGGGGTGTGGAGTGTCCTCCACGCAAGATAACACCAAGAGATCAAAAATTAAGCCTATGGTCCTGGTAGTGTGGGATGTAATAGGCATAGCAGTTAACTGGCTGATTTTCCAAGAAATATGGGCAAATTAGCAAGGAACGAGCCATGTCCGCATAAATGCCGGTGGACATGTGAAGCTGCAAAGTGATTTTGTGTTTCTGCAGCCTGCTGTTAGAACAGCAAGACTGATCTCTATCCCCTGTAACCTTTAATGAGCTCATTCTTACCTGTCTCCCTGAAGAAGGCAAATGTCAGTATTTCTACTTTTCCAGATGACAGACAGATCCAAAATGGCTGAGGTGCAAGGGCTCAAAGGCCCTTCATTGCCTTTGAGGATCGGGGGGTAAACGAACCACCTGGATAAAACAGGTGGTCTCCAGCACGGCAGGAATCCCAGCGCTGTTCTAACACCGTCTTCACTTGGCATCCTCCCTCTGAGGGACAAAGCCACAGAGGCATAAGCACAGATGAAGAAAGCTCCTCAAAATCTTCAGACACCTTTGAGAACATGATACAGAACTGATTATCTTCTTCAGACTGTCTTTTATCTCCTCATTCTGGCTGGCAAGGAAACAGCCTGCTAGGGCCTGCACGTGTGCGGCTCCTGTGTGGATGCCCAGCTGAGAAATAAGGAGTTTCTTGCCTTGCTCCGCTGACCCCCTACATGCTTTGCATCCTCTATCGGCTATACTCGAGTTTGCTAGATTTCAATGAAGTAAGATGACAGAGAGGCAGCTTAACAAACAGTATGAGTACAGGTAGGCTTTTCCAAGGGAAGGGCTTTAATTCCATTCATAAAGACAGATACTTTTTGCTTTCCAAGTACAGCTAACTCATAACATCAGTAACATTGAAAATTTTCATGTAGTCATAAAGCAGGCAGACGTGCACAGATGTTAGGGCACACAGCGCTTGGATGCGTTCCGTTTTTCTCCCACTAACACTGGTTTTGTTTTGGTGATGGTTGTACATTGGCTACACAAAACCAGACTTTGTGTCCATCTCTCTGCTGTTACCAAAACGAAGACTCCGTTAAGGCAACTACTGCTTACAGCTGGGTACCCAACAGGTACACACAGTGGATTAAGGACAAAGAAGTCACGTGTGTTGTGTAGCTCTCTGTGGGGTTTGATGTGAAGGGAACAGCACAGCGGATGTGATTCGTGTTTAAAATGCACAGACTGACCTTCAGTCAGGCAGTAGAGCAAACTGCCAGCTTACTGTTCATCTGCAATAGAAGCCAGGGAGAAGGGGAGAGAGAGAGAGAGAAGCTGCTGGACTGTGTAAAAGGACTAGACCCCACTACCAGGGAAACTGGGGGTTGTGTTTTTTTAATTCTTGGTTATTTCTATTTACTCTTTGCTCTCCTCTTTACTTACACTTTAGAGCCATGAAATCACAGCCTAGATGCTTCCAAGAACTGGAACTGGCCCACCTCTATCCTCTCCTCCCTCCAAGCTGCAAACAGATTGCTTCTGCAAACCAGAGCCTGCATTTCAAACGTCACCACTGACTTTTGTTCTGGGTTTCTTCTAGCCAGAGCGTCTGTAGCAGGAGAAGGTGGATGCTGGAGCCTGTGAGGCTGGCTCTGTGGTTAGAGGCGTGCCCACAGGGCTCATCAGCAGCATCAACAACTGGCGCGCAGGCTGTGAGATTTCAAAGAGCCAATTTGGCAGCTGTTGTGCCCTACCTTGCCCAGCTACAAACCCGCTTGACATCTCATTCGCAAACACGAAACACTGTGCACTACAAAAACTTCACACTGAGCACAGGGTCAACGAGGGGAAAGGAAGGCAGTAGGGAAGAAGCGGAAGAAAGACATCTCCTCCGAGCCTTGCATTCGGGATCACGTGAGTTCACATGCTCCTCATCATTCCTAAAATATGGTTCCAGTATTGCTGTTCTGGCATGTGTAGAGCTTTCCTAATGCTAGCATCTGGCTAGATGCACCAATATCTTATTTCTCTTCACGGATTCAAGACAGGGTTCCTAACAAAGCAATCAAATCACAGACACACTGTGGATGATGTAAGTTTAGATGTTCATTTCCCATAAACAAAAACAGAAACAAAACCCTGCAACTTGTTTTGTCCCTTTTGCCCCTCTGAAGGGACAAATATTTTTTGTTTGGTTTCTTTTTGTTTGTTTGTTTGTTTGTCAGTGAGGCTCTCCAAAGTAACAGCGGCAGGAAAACTCCCCATAAAGAATTCCAGTCTTCCAGTAGTTTCAGCATGTCCCAGTTGGCATTTCCAGCCCTTTCCCCTTGGAGCATCAGAATCAATCCTCTTGGACTGCAGTTTCAGCACACAACGTAGCACTGTTGACATTCAGAGTCCTAGGGATAAAGGCATTGGTGCGTTCCAGCTCTCACGTGGCAGCCAACATCCTCCGCTGAAAGACGTGGTAGTTCTTTGCTTGACAGTCTGGGCTTCCCACAGACCCCCAGACAGCTCCGATGGATCAGCGCCGCAGCCTGAGAAAGAATGCATGCTTGCACTCCTTGCTGTCCAAGGGATAGTATTTGTCATAAAAATCCAAAATGTATTCTTCAGTCTTAAATCCAAACTTTTGGTAGAGCAGCATAGCAGGGTTGCTTGCAGAGACGTGAAGGGTTACGTCTTTGCCCATGCAGGTCTGCCAAGGGAGGAGGGGGGGAAAAAAAAAAGGTATCACAGCAAAAAAAAAAATGAGACAGCCTCTGGGGGAATGCGGAGGTGAAGAGATTCATCTGTTCAGGTATTCAAGTTACTGAGGAAATGTGAGAAAAATTGCAGGCCTCGACACAGAAGTTACCACACATAGCAACAGCTGAAAGGCGAAGGGAACACCGCTGTTCCTCTGAGCCTTTGTTTCTCGGAAACATGGACTCTCTGACAACGAAAGCAGGTTCGGGATTATAATTTGTCAGCTTTCCATTGTCAATTGCTAAGTAATTGTTAATTAAAAATAATCTTGGTGTACAGCACTGATCTCAAATACTTATTAACAATGGCCTGAAGAAAAGACAAAACATGCCAGAGGATCAGGCGCTGTGCTCCGCCCCATCAGCAAACAGAGCTGAGTGCTCTGGGACGGCGCGAGCAGCCCTAGCGCACCTCTGGGCTGTCGTGCTGGAATTCCTGTCTATCCCACCCAGCTCCTCTCCCATCCTTCAGGGCACAGCACTCCTCCTCCTGAGAAGGCAGGGAATTCAGTTCAGACAGCGAACAGCATGGCTGAAGTTACCTTAAAGATCCCAGATTATCCTAACCAGCAGCTCTCTGATAAAGATGCCGATATAATAATTTTTTCCTGCTTTCATCTAGTGTTTTAATAGCATTCTATTTACATTGACTGTATTGTAACTCTAAGCGGGAACAGTAACACCCTTTAGGAAATTTCCACGGTACATTATTCAAAGGGAAAGCTCTCACAGGGGCTTAATAAAAAAAAAAAAAAAAAGAAATAAAAAACCCAACAATCTGGATTCATTTTTGGGAGAAGTAAGTTTGGAATGAGATATTAAGAAGATGCAGTTTGGTCCTCTGGGACAGATGCATTAGGGGGAAACTTCTGAAAGCAAACCCATCATCAAGGCATCGTTTGCATCAACACATTTTCTGTTAGATTATGCTGTTCCCAAGAATCCATCCCCAAACTCAGCACACTGGTCTAAGAGACAGAGAATTACCCTTAATCCAAGCAGCGTATGGAAGTGGCTCTAGCTACAGAGAGCAGACCCTGGTGTCAGCCCAAGCAAGCTGCGCAGCAGCACGCACAGTCTGGTGATTGAGGAACAGAAGGTCATAACCACCACTTCTTCTCTTCCATGACTAAATGCCTTCTGCCGCTGACAGATACTTGGCAATGGAAAAATAAATCTAACATGAGCCGACAATACACTGGTGATCTCTCACTGCTAGCAAGCCTCATCAGTCTCAAACCTGCCTGGCTCTCCTCAATGTGTTAATTTTATGCTAGTCTACCTGCAAGCAGAATTAGGTTAATTGGCTGTGATACATCCTACAAAAAGCTGCGATGATTTTCTACAGCTGACATGCCAACACATCCCGACTCTGCTGGAGAGACACAAGTCCAGCTGCTGGATCCCTGCAAATCTTGGCACATCACTCGTGCCTGTTCTCACTAGGTGTTGACGTCTCACGTCAGACTGCAGTTGAGGGCAATTTACTTAATCACGTTACACAGAGACCCTTGGGAAACGGAAGGGGTGAATTTAAAGTAGATTGGTTAGTGGCCTGTGTCAACACGTAGATCAAAGAGAGGTGGACACTGCAGAGCACTGT